AATGTATTTCTTAAAAAGTAAGTTTTGAAAATCAAAATTACTCCTTGAGGCATGAGCTGCAAAATAGATCTTTTAGTAGGCATGAAAACAACATTAATCTCTTTGTATATCACCATCAGAGCTCTTGGGTGACCAGGTGCATTGTCAATAAGCAGAAATACTTTGAAAGAATTTTTTTTTTTTTTTTGAGCAGTAAATCTCAACAGTGGGCTTAAAATATTCAGTAAACCATGTTGTAAAGAGATGTGCTGTCATCCAGGCCTTTATTATCTCATTGATAGAGCACAGGCAAAGTAAATTTATTATAATTCTTTAGAGCCCTGGAACTGTCATAATGGTAAATGAGCATTGGCTTCAACCTGAAGTCACCAGCTGCATTATTCCCTAACAGGAGTCAGCCTAAACTTTGAAGCTTTGGAGCCGGGCATTGACTTCTCCTATCTGACTCTGAAAGTCCTGGATGGCATCCTCTTCCAATAGAGGACTGTTTAGTCTACACTGAAAATGTTTTGTTTAATGTAGCCACCTTCATCAATGATCTTAGCTAGATCTTCTGGATAACTTGCTGCAGCTTGTACATCAACCCTTGCTGCTTCCACCTTGCACTTTTGTTATGGGGATGACTTCTTTTCTTAAACCACATGAACCAACCTCTGCTAGCTTCCAACTTTTCTTCTGCAGCTTCCTTACCTCTCCACATCTTCATAGAATTGAAGAGATTTAGGGCCTTGGTCTGGATTAGGCTTTGGCTGAAAGAGAATTCTGGCTAATTGGATCTTCTATCCCTATCCAGAGCACTCAAACTTTCTCCACATCAGTAATAAGTTTGTCTCACTTTCTTAACATTTGTGTGTTCACCAGAGTAGCACTTTTAATTTCCTTCAAGAACTTTTCCTTTGCATTCACAACTTGGCTATTTGGTGCAAGAGGCCTAGCTTTCAGACTATCTTGGCTTTTGGCATGCCTTCCTCAGTAAGCTTAATTATTTTCAGCTTTTGATTGAAAGTAAAGATATGCAACTCTTCCTTTCACTTTAATACTTAGAGGCTGTTGTAGGGTTATTAATTTTCCTAATCTCAATATTGTTGTGTCTCAGGGAATAGAAAATGCCTGAAGAGAAGAGATAGCGGGAATGTCTAGTTTTTGGAGCAGTCAGAATACACATATTTATTGATAAAATTCACCATCTTATATAGAGGCAGCTTGTGGTGACCTAAAACAGTTCTAATATTAATAACAAAGATCAACGATCACAGATCACCAAAACAGATAAAACAATAATGAAAACATTTGAAACACTATGAGAATTACCAAAATGTGACACAGAGACAGGAAGTGAGCACGTCCTGTTGGAAAAATGGTGGTGATAACTTTATTCATTTTCTTTGAAAAATGCAGTATCTGTGGCATGCAATAAAGCAAAGTGCAATAAAAAGAGACATGTCTGCAATTTCAAATTTGAATCAAATATTTTAAAATCTGTCCAGTCTTTATTCTCACTATTATTTCTGGCTCTTTCCTTTTTGTTTTGCAATGTAGCGGGGACCTTTTATTATTAATTTTTGTGTCCACATTGTCAGGCATTCAATTTGGTGCATAATAGGTGTTAAAATATTGAATAAAACTGAACCTCTGGCATGACATACTGCTTTATAAATCTACGTCTAGGTTGATAATTAATACCATACAGTCTAAACTTTTGTTATATTTCAGATGGAGGTAACTTGCCTTTTTCTAAATGCAATGCCTAATATTTCTGCAGATTTAAATTCACAAACTTGGCATTTTACTATACTATAGTAACTTTCAGATTTTACAGTACACTTTTTCCCCTAGGCAATAATATATAGGTTAAATAAGAATAACCATGGGCAAAAATAATAGATCCAGCAGTGAATGTCAGAGAAGTACCACTTCATATCTGTTATTTTTGTCTTGACATTATATTAAATGTCTACCTCAAAGAGAAAATTCCCCTAATCACATGATGATTTTATTTTCAAAGTCAACAAACAATTTTCCACGGAAAGTTTGCTAAATATGTATTTTGAACGTCTGTATAAATGGAAACTGAATCTCTCACATCCACGAGCTCACGAATGCCCTAGACCATATTAAAACTAAGTTTGAAATACTAAGATTTTTTTTGTTTCTTTTGTTTTTCTTAACACTTTAGTAACCTGTGTCAGGGAGGGGAGAATGATGCAGCAAATGCGTAGCAAAGATAAAACTGGTTTGTCACAGTGAGTTCCAGCTTCATGCTGTCTAAATGAAACCAAGTTTCCCCTATGAAGAACGGGTTGCTCCATTTAAATTATCTTTGTTCTTATAGGTCAAAATATCATGTCTTTTACTTGTTTGGGTGAAAACCACATGCACTAGCTTCTGGCACAGATAACATATTAGAAAATATCTAAACCACATATATTTAAATGTAATATTTAAAGTACATTGTAACTGAGATAGAGTCTGCAGTTTATGAGGAAACAGCTCATTTACATACCAAAGAATCTCTCAAAATTGTAAATTCTGTGTGTCTTTGACAGTTTCACTTCAGGCATGGAGATGTGGAGATGTTTGAAGTTTAGAGAGCATTAACTTGTATAGAGCAGAGCAAGACTTTATTCATTGCACATTTGCCAAAGATACTCTTTTTGGTTTCCTTTGAAGATAAAAATTACTATCTGTTTGGACCAGGAAGTTCATCTGTCTCTGTATAACTCTCACTAGGGGTAATATATATTTACGTGACAATCAAATAAGTATTCTCTATAAAAAACCAAGCCTGTCATTCATATTATACAGGGCAGGTGGGAACTGGGGACAGCAAAAACCTAACCTTGACAAATCTTCCTAGAACTTTAAGTAAAATGGGGCCTAACTCCATAAACTTGACATTATTGTATGATGTTAATGCATAGTTGCGAGATGAAGATTTTTTCCCTACTTTGTTCTTTTTAACTGTGTTACATTAGATAACATGTATTTTTACAAAATACATTAAACATGTACCCAACGGGTTTCTTTTTGTTTGAAAGAAGAAAAGAATAATGTTTTAATACTGTCTTTGAGCTCCAACTAAGCATAAGTATAAAACCAAAAGCTTTGCTGGAAAATCTTAACCATTTTCTTTTCAAATTGATATATTCAACACAAAGGTCAATGTAGATGATTTTAAAATTGCTTAGTTGCACTGTTTTATGTTTCTCTCATATTAAATATTGTTAACTGATTAAAAATTAATGCAAACAGTATTGGAGACTTTAAGTCTCTACAGATTCCTAAGCCTTTAGTATAATAACTGAATAGCCTCAATTCGTTTTTGCATTGTAAAAGTAGCATGAATTTTAAATTACTGTCACAATGATGACCAAAAGTAAATAGGAAAAAAAAAAAACACATACATTTAAGCTGATAAACAGAACATTTTCATGGATACTATGTGCTTATGGGATGGGAGAAAAATAGTTCCTATTACAAATAATAATAAAAACTATAAGAAAAAGCGTCTTAGTGGAACCTAACAAGGGCTGACACTACACAGCTATATTTCCTGCTCATTGTCACTGCAAATTTTGCATCATGGATGACTTGCACAATTTAAAAAGCGTAAAGTTAATTTGCCAAATAGCATGATCCTGTAAAATTTTTAAAAATTCCTCTGGCCATACTATTTTTAATTAACCAAGTTCATGACCCTTCTTGTGAGGCTCCATCCTCCCCAGACCAAGAGTGGTTGAGTAGTGGAGATAGTGCCTGAACCCCAATTTCTGACTCAAGTAAAACTCCATGCACTTACTACTCTATCACATTCTCTTTTCTTAATGCTTCTTTCTCTTAGCTCTGCACTATATTTTTCTCTCTGATTTTCAGTGAACTATACTCTCCTGGTTTTCAAAATTGCTTTTTTTTTTCTCCTTTTTTCCTATTTTCCTAAAGTCAACTTGAGCAGTAAAGAACAAGAAGTTTCAGAGTCAGACTAATCGGGTTTATTTGATACCTGCCTTTCACAGTTTCTGTGATATTTCAAAGAGATAGTCATACAAAAGCTTCATACTTAATACCCTGTCAATGAATGCAATGTTCCAAGCCATAGCAATTTTTAGAACTATTTTTTCTTGCATCATGTTGACTCCTTAGGCTTTTGAATTGTTCTCAGGTTTTCTCATGACCTATCTCAAAAACAAACTTTTTCTAATTATTGTCTCTAATTAATGTCACCAATAATATGAAACTTCTTGTTCTTTACTGCAAACATCACATCACCTCTTTCATAAATCTTTGAATGTGTATCTCCAAATACTAAGTAATTTTAAAACACAACCACAATACAGTTATCCCACTAAAAATATAATTATTAAGGTTATCTAACATCCAGACTGTATTAAATGTTCACTTATTTCATTAGGATTTTTTAAGGTTGTTTGCTTGAATCATGATCCCATCATTACATACATTGTGATGGGTCGCTAACTTTTTACATTTCTTTTCATCTATTCTCCAGATTTTCTTGTTTTTGTTCCCAGGAACTTATTTGAAGTAACTGGGTTGTCTGTACTGTAGCAGTTCCCATAGCCTACTGCCTACTATGGTGTAGATTTTAGTATATTCCTCATGCCTCTATTTCTTAAAAATTGGAGGCAGTGTATTTCCTTTTCCTTCCCTCCTTTCTTGCTTTCTCCTTTCTTTCTAGTCAGAAGAGTCAGTTCTAGCTATCATTTTACTGGTTGGTTGGGTTTTGCCTTACATTTTGCCAACAGTGTGCCTTTTTTGTGGCTTCCAGACTTTTATCCACGGGTCTGTGCATTGCCCTCAAGTGTTGCATAATGAAAAAATCCAATCTTCTACTTAAACAATCCATGCACAAATCTTTTCATTTAACTGTGACTTTCACCGTCGTGGTCCTCCTCTTTTGAATAGGCTATCTTTCTAATGTCAGTTTTAAAATGTACTTATGAGACTAAAAATAATATTTTATATGTGGTATGTTGTTTTATCAGGAAAATGAAGAACATCCCCTGGAAGTAACCACGGCTTGAAACTAGTGCTACAATCCTTTGTACCCCCAGGTCATCCCCACTTAAGCCAGAGCAGCTGCCCTTTGCTTTGACGAGGTAAATGAAGAAACATAGGTTGGACCACCTCATAATTTCACCATCTGTCACGCTAGATGATATAACTTGTTTGCCTAGTTGTTAAGTAGTCTGGCTGTGAATTCTTGAATTTTTTTTTTTTTTTTTTTTTTTTTTTTGAGAGCAACCGTGAGTAATCTTGTGCTGCAGAGTTTATGGGAGCAATGCGGTGTGTAGAATATAAATGACCACTTTTGCTCAAATTTTGAATATCAAATCCTCTCCGAGGTTTGATTGTTACAGAAGCAGTGAAATGTGATTCAGCTAATGGTAAGGAAAGAATTCCATGCATAGTACAATAATTTTTCTCCGGAAGCCTGAGGTTATATAATGGTTTATAAGTTGACAGTTTGACATAAGCTCTTCTAGCATTTTAAATAAAAAGCTTTCTTGAACTAAGCGTTCTAGTAAATACTAAGTTAATTATATATAGGATTCCCAGCAACTTGGACACATTACATTGCAAGGAAGATAAAGGACTATTTATAGCCCTGAACCTGTGTGCTGTTTGAGTGTAATCCAGTCTGGGCCTGATTCAACCTCCTAAATGTAACATGGTCCTAGTGTAGGCTCCAACAACAACCTAATTGACCAACCTAACAGTCTCACACAGCAAGAAGACATATCCAATATGACTCTGTGGTCAGGCATGATAATGAATCCTGGCTATATCACATACAGTTGTGTGAATTCTAGCACATTCTTTAAACTCTCTCAACCTCAGCTTCCTATTCTCTTTTTTTTTTTTTTTTTTTTTTTTTTTGAGATGGAGTCTTGCTCTGTCGCCCAGGCTGGAGTGCAGTGGCCGGATCTCAGCTCACTGCAAGCTCTGCCTCCCGGGTTTACACCATTCTCCTGCCTCAGCCTCCCGAGTAGCTGGGACTACAGGTGCCCGCCACCTCGCCCGGCTAATTCTTTGTGTTTTTTAGTAGAGACGGGGTTTCACCATGTTAGCCAGGATGGTCTCGATCTCCTGACCTCGTGATCCGCCCGTCTTGGCCTCCCAAAGTGCTGGGATTACAGGCTTGAGCCACCGCGCCCAGCCAGCTTCCTATTCTCTAAACAGCAATAATACTAGCCTTTATCTCATTTTTTTTTTCTTCAGGTGGCCCTGAAGATTAAATGAATATTTATCAAGCTTAATACAGTGCTTGATATCTTATGTCTTCAGAATAAATGTAAGTTGTTATCATTGCTGTTATAATTATCTTTATTAATTTATTGTGCCAGAAGCAAAGGTGTTATTACTCTAAAATCCTTTAGGGTTCAACTTTGTCCTATTTCTAATTTATCTATTGCTCTGTACCTGAAACACAATTCTGTAATTAACATTATTTCCTTTCTTCCACTGGATGAAGTAAGCCAGCTTGGAACCTGCAGTGGAAATTGATGTGAGCAGCTAGGTGAGGTTATAGGAACAGCATCACTGTAGTTGAATAAGCTATGGGATGAGGCACAGGAGGCATGAAATGTATCCTCAGGTCTCTCCTAATTTCCCATGACCATCAGAGAGTCATATAATATGTATGAGCCTCGTCTTCCCAAAACCTGAGATGAGGACAGTTGGCTAGAGCTTTCTAAGGTAATGAGTTACCTCTTATATTCTTAAGTGCCACAAACTGTTTTGTTTGTGTGTGTGATAAATGGATGGAAATTGTAATTGATAGGTGGCATAGGTCTACTGATAGAGTGCTGGCATTTCAGTAATATGTCCAAAAGTGATTGCAAGCCCCAGGCGTGGTGGTTCATGCCTGTATTCCCAATGTTTTGGGAGGCAGAGACAAGAGAATCTTGGCTTGAGGCCAGTAGTTCAAGTACAGCCTGGTCAACATAACAAGATCCTGTCTTTACAAAAATAAAGCAAAAAAAAAGTTAGCCAGGCATGGTGGTGCACACCTGTAGTCCTAACTACTTCTGATGCTGAGGTAGAAAGATTGCTGGAGCCCAGGAGTTTGAGACTGCAGTGAGCTATGATCATGCCACTGCATTCTAATATGGGTGACAGAGAAACTCTGCTCTAAAATAAATAAATAAATAAATAAATAAATAAGTGGTTGAGAAAGAAATATAGCAGATGAGATAAAATAAGACTATTCCAGGCTCAGAAAATAGCCTGTACCAAGGCATTGTACAAAGGTATACCTTTTATAAAGGACTGGAGGAAGGCAATTGTAGCTAGGGCACAGAAAGTGAGAATTGCCAAGGTAACATGAAACTGTGTAGTAAAACAGTGTGCAAAAAACTTTGGATATCCTCAAAGAATGACTGTGCTACCTTAAAAGATAACTTCATTTGAGTTGACAGTCTAATTTTCATTTGAGAAATATTATTAATAAATCACTCCAGAAAATGAAAAAAAGTACATAATTGATGTTTAGATAATATAGATCCTATGAACTGTTAAGACCCGGAAGTGGAAAATGACCATCACCCAGGAATTAGATGGTATTTCTACTTTTTAATTTTATTACTAATTCAATTACTTTTATGGGTGACTCCAGAAGGTCTTCTAAGGCCCTTTTAAACCCCTGCAGAGTGGAGGCAGAAACAAAAGTTCTATTTCATAATCACGAATTTTCCTGTAAAAAGTCTTTTGAATCAACTGCAAGTTCTACAGAACATAAGCCACAAACAAGCCCAAGATGGTTTAGTCAACCGACCTCCTGAATCACCTGGGAGCCCAAACACTGAGCAGAGGTAGAGAAACAGAAGATTAAGACACTCATAGCTATCTTAATAACTTGTGCAGAGCTAAGCAATAAGTTTTTATAGATAGCTTTCTTTAAGGCAAACTAAAAGCAACATGACACAGAATATTTAAGGAATAGGAAAAATGCTATTTATATTTAGTTAGCAAATTCTGAACTAAAATTGGTAAAGAGTAAACCTGATATCCTCTCACAGAAAAGAAAACACACACACACACACAAATGAGATTTAAAGGGGCTGGCTTTAAATGTTAGTAATGCTATAGTCTTGAGCGAGTCACAGAACATGTTAGCTACAGTTCCTTTTTCTGCCAAACTGAGATAATAATGCCTCCTTAATTGAATTGTGTCAGTTTTAAATAAGTAAACACCCATAACATTCTGAGCAAAATACCTAACACGCAGAATTCTCTCAGTAATTGTTATTAATTTGGGGTGTCAGACTGAATTTCTCAGTGTAAGGTACAAATAAGGCAATTCTTACAAATATTGACTGAAAATCTCCAACAGAAATTACTGTGTGTCGATACTAATTTCTACCCTCAAAATAAAAACACATATTCTATAGTTCAGTTGTATTATTCAAAGCAAACCAGCACAGCATTTAACTTGGAAGTTGTTAAGAGCACCACCTGTCTGAGTTTCTTACAGCTGTCAGAAGCAAATTTTAGATCCACCTCCAAAATTTTACCTCAACTAGAACCAGACTGTGACTGTATTCAGAGTAATTTAGTTTTGAAGGGCTTCTTCATTCTAAGAAATATGTACACATATATATATATATGAAGCATATATGGAATATAAATATATATAACTAGCAACCATCAAATAGAAGATATGTATTATAATTATAGTATGTAGCTTTCAGTAAAGCATTGAAGCAGAAAATATTTATTGTAACATAAAGATAGAATTTACCATTTAGAGGAAAATGAAGAATGAATTTATGAAAAGAACCAGAATTCTAAACTTAATTACTTTATTTTAAAAATCATATTGATGCACAGTAAGTTTGTGGAATTCCAATCTTTATCTCTGAATTTCCATTAACGGTCAAATAAACACAAATTTTGTGAGACCACTTATGTCTTAAATTGTATATAAATCATATATATGTGTGTGTGTTTTACATACCCTAGTAGGAAAGGAAAAACAAACTTAAGGTCTCCATTTAAAAATATCATAAAGTAAAAATGCTTCAAATTACTTTTTAAGTTTAAGTAAGCATTAGTGTAATATTTCAAGTTCATCATGGTCTCCATCCTTGAAAACTTTGTAATTTTTGCTGGATAAGATATCATCCATCATGTTACATGACCATAGCTATTTATAGAGGTGTGAGTAACAACTGTTATCTAGTGGGGCCTTTGGTATAGCAGAGAATAGTTTCCACATGCAAAATTTAAGAGAAATCTCTTTTTGCTCCCCCAATATACAGATCTGGCAGCCTCTCAGCTCCTAAATCCACTTCTCAGATCCTGTATAGAATCATTGACCACGACAATTACCTTAAAGCAACGTTTTAAATGGACACATCAACAGTCCATGTGGCTGTCAATTTGCATATTTTTTTTCCTTACTTGATACTATTGGAAAATGGTAGCAATACCTTCAGCAGTGATCTCAGTCATGGTGGTCGTCAAAAGTAAATGTCAGTTGAAAAGTTCCCGTCAAGTAGCACTTTGCAGACTATTTGGGGATTTGAGAACTCTGGTAGAGGGTTCTGTGTCAAAACCTGGGGGCTCTTCTTTTTCCTGGCTGTTTCTGCTGCTTCTTTGTTGTCCTGTTGAACTTTGCCTCTCCTCTGCAGAGTTCTCCCCCTGGAATCAACCTAAGCCCTTTCCAAGCAGCACTTGTGGCTCAGCTAGAAGTATCAGCTTCAAACAAAAATAGCCTCATCTCCCTAGGACTCTTCAGCATGTTTTTTTTTTTTTTTTTTTTTTGGCACTCTAGAGGAACACACACAGAGACACACCAGCTCTCCAGCCCCAAAGAGAGACAGGCAAAAAAAAAAAAAAGAAGAAGAAGAAGAAGCCAAATGAACTACAAAGTACCATCTAAGCCCACACAGTTTCTCTAAGACAATTACAGATCTTGGGGTCTATGTCAGAAAACATGAAGTAAAGAGTTGAAAGTAATCTTATCCATGAGAGCTCAGATTTATTCTTAGTGCTTTTAATGGTCAGAACATTCTTCTTTCCCTTATTTGGCTTAGGGAGGGTCCCAAATGTCTACCACAGGCAAACGGGAGGGCAGTCTTAAGTAATTTTCTAAAAGTTGTGTTCCTGTTGATACAAATCCACTTAGCAAGTGCAGTTATTTTTATAGGGCTACACTTAAAATTGCAACTATTAAATCCTAAAGCTTTCTTTTAAAGTAGTCATACTGTAGAAGAGTAATATTTTCTGAACACTGACCAATAAGAATTACGTAATGTGAATTTATAGTGTGATACTTGAAAACCAATGGATTCATGAATTACTATGTTTTTAATTCTCTTTAATACCTAACTAAAAACTAAATATCTGCATTTATCCTTGCAATAAAAGGAAGCGAAGGTGACATAAAGTTTAGTGGTCCACAGCCAATATTTTAGTAAAATATTTCCTTATCTCAACTTAAAAAAAAAAAAGGATTATAGCAGCCACTAACAATTAACCAAATTGTCTGATTAGCATTTCACCTTCCCACTCCTAGACAGGTGTTAATGAGCAAAAAAATATTCAATAGTTGGTAGCTGGAAGGAAAAGGATAATCGAAGGGCACTGATAATCATAAACTCTAGCCAATCCGTAAATAATCAAGGGTGGGCTACACTTTTATTTTATTCTCATATTCAACCTACTACATGTTTGTAGTTTAATCTTTTAGCTTGAACTTGCTACCTTTTGTTTTCAGACCTCCTGAATTCATATGGTACTTCATAGATCATGAAGCAAAGCCATGTTTGTTATTTTTAAAATTCAGGCTCAGAAGAGTACTGCAACAGCTATTTCTGTAGGCAATTACCTCCTCCCTGTTAGTGGTTCTGTCTTTATCTGCTGCCCCCATTCCTGGCACAATAGAAAGTTGCTCATATATCAGCTGAATACATAAATTAGTAACAAATCTTAATTTACAAGGAGGAAATGATTACGTGATTGCATTCATGATTTTATTCAAATTCCTACATCTAGGACTGGGCCTAGAGCCTTTTAACTACAAGTTTGCTATCTTTCCCAAGAAGTGAGGCCTTGTTGCAGATACTATGACTTACAGGTAAAGGGGGTCACTGCAAATTAGGCCCACTAGTGGGATGAAAAGATACAAAATCCTCAAGAGCAGCTTCCCAGAGTTCTGGGTTGGTCTAAGGAGGTATCCTAGGAGAAAAGCCCTCCTCACACTGCCCCCCAAGGAATCTCCAGTAAATACTGCTGCAGTACTTCCAAGTGTTTAAAAAAACATAGCACTTCATGTCTCCATTCATCAGTTACTTTCATAATCTTTCATTGTAGTTCACTGAAGGAATGACATCTTATGTAACTCATTAAGACTTTTCATGGGTCAGATCCTAAATAAAATTAGGCTCTGGAACAGGAAAAAACTCAACTTTTCAAACTCATTTTACTTAATAAAAAGTTTGAATAAGACTCTAGAAAAGAAATACTAAATTCCTAGTATTGATGTTACTCTTAGGTTCCCAATCACTATTTTCATGGTAAACATACCGGAAGGAAAAATAAGCAAACATTCTAGCCAATAAACATGTTTTGAAGATAATAGCTTTTTCAAACCTCTCTGTGAGATGAGTTGATGAATGTTATTAGACAGTGAGAAATTGGCATGGTTCTCATTTTGAAAAGTTATTAGGATTCTTTCAATTTATCTGAAACTCAATTCATGAGGTATGTCTTTGAATTCCAAATGGAACCCTGCCAAGTTTTCTGAAACCAAGCAAATGACATTCTTATAAATGTGTATACCCACTCTTCAGGGAACTCAAAGAATAAAACATTACAAACAATTCATTTGTCCTTGTTCATTTTTAAAGGGTCTTCCTTTCTAAAGAGGTGTTACCAGTTCATTGGGCTCTTTCAACGTGACCCAAAAGTGATAGTTCTCTCGTCTCAGCAATAGCTCCTGTAATAACTCTCACATTCCACTTCTGTACCATCAGCACAGGTAGATTTATCATAGTTTTGCATACAGGGATATTTATAAAATTAGGACATTAATAACTGAGCTAGTCTAGATAAGTAAATGATAAACTGTGAAAATGTGTTCTCCTATTAATGTTGCATTTAGGTCAAGGGGCATCTCCTACCTGATTATACTGATCATTATCCCTTGAAATATTCACTAGGTATTCTAAATAGTCAAATTAGTAGATAAAAATATTCTTCCTTAGATAAATGTTTAAACCTTGCTCCTGTGTCTGCTATTATCATAAACACTCAATAAGACATGCATTCTATTTAGCTATGAGCAAAATACTGTCATCCACACCAAGTTTCAAAATGGCAAAATATTTGGGAGGCAATCAGAGAAGTTTTGTTGATTTTTTTGTTTCCACCAAAATAAAATAAAATTAATTTTTAAAAACTGTCAAACCACACTGCATTACCTCTTTCAGTGCTGATTTGTTTTTTCTGTTGTGTGCAAGAAGAGACATAGTTGGGTGTAGATTGCTATTTACCATTAGTCATTTATTTTCTCAAGGACTGGGGATATTTGAGAGAAAGTAAGTTTTAGAGTTTATTGTCAAGGTTTTCTGTTTCTTAATTTACAGACACAAATGGCTTATATACTTGGCTAACCTACGCATAAATTTGTGGTAAATGGAAATAATGGGAAACACACTTTGTACAATATAGCATGTCTAAACAGAGTGCCAATAAATGTGTAGGATATACAATTGGGTGAGAAAGCTGTTTACTTGGATTTAAAAATAATAATTGCCATAACTTCCACATAAACCTAAGTTTTCAGGTTCATTTTAATAGGAGACAAAAATAAATAACCAAATGGAATGATTTCAATAAAGAGAAGGAGAGGGCAGAGTATCATGATGCAAAAAACTTCCAGAATTAAGAGCAAACAAAATATAAGCTACTGTTCTAGTGACTCAGATGAAGTAGCTTACAAGGGAAAATAGACATAAGTTTACTTTCAGCTTTGCAGGTGAAGAAAAACTGCAAACACAATTTAAATTTGTAAAGAATAAACATTGGCTTTTTAAACATTGAAATGAAGAAATATAGAAGAAACTAGGAACAGTGGAAGTGAATGTGAGACTATTTGCCTTCATTTGACCTTGAGATAGCATCAAATGACCTAGAAATTCTTCTGACCCTTGCATTTAATAAACTTAGAATTCAGAATCGCAAGAAAAGCCTCCAAGCCTCCATTGAACTATTATTTCATTAATCTTACTTCATCTCAGCACTGCTGTTCACTTCATTTTAAATTGTTTTGTCTTCTATTTGTGTCACGGAAAATATCATTCTGCCCTCATTACTATCTCTAAATGGCCTGTGCTCATTTCTTTAATCAAGGTTGAAAGTCATTCCATAGGTTTGGCTTACCATCTGATTATTTAGAAACTGTGTAATCCAGATCGTTTCAAATGACAGAAGGCATTCCAGTGCAATTAAAAACCTTCCTTTCTTTAACTCTGACTCATGAGTAGCTGAGTCTCCAATATCAGGCTTCTTTCCTCACACACATTTGACATTGTCAAACATTCTCTTAGAAATTTTTCTGTGTCAATCTGATTTTTAGTTAACAAAGGCGATGATTGCCCCTTCCTTCTTAGATATTCCATTCTCTGAAGACCTGGCATCTGTCCACTACCATTGTCCTGTTTAAGAGGATCTGCAGTATCCTGCAGTAGTTGGTCCCTGTGGAGTCCATAATTCAGATTACTGCTTTCTATTCTGCGGTCGATCACATATGACCTTCAGTCTGCGTTCCTGGTTGCTATTCAGAAGCAATTTGTGATTTATACTTTTTCTATTTTCTTATAAAGTCACACACACTTTTCTTATAAAAGATAAAATATCTGATGACCAATTCTTAGATACAAATTTTTTTCTTTTAAATAATTTAAATGGATATTTCTATTTCTAATTTTGAAAAAAATTATAATGTCATCTTGTTTTTGGCATTGTGCTGTTTCATATTACCAACAATGCTATCTGCTGTATCTGGTGTATCATTACTAAATACCTCCAAGAGTCACCATCTTTGTGAGCTTACTTATTAATAATGATGCAACTTATTAATCCCCTTCCTCAATAAATATATATTAGCTATTTGCTCTGGACACTAGGCTAGGTTCTAGTGATACAAAAATTAAGACAAGGATTTTTTTTTTCTTCAAGGAGTTTATAGTCTAGTAAGAGAATTAAACATTATAACGCAGCGTGTTAAATTCTAGAGTAAACTCTAAGCATTATTTGGGCAGAAAAGAAGTTGTAACAGTCCAGGAAAAACAATAAGAGAAAGGAAATACTGGAGTTGAGTCTTGAAGTATAAGAAGCTATTTAAACACATGGTTGATTGAGGACGTACTTTCTAAGTAGAGGAAACAACTCAGGAAAAGTTAGAGAGACCTAAGCATCATGAACTCTAAATAGTTCAGTAACATTTGGTCACGAGGTACTTGTAAGGAAACTACAGATAAAGAAATAAGAGAATATAAAAGGGACGATACTAAAGTATCTCATAAGTCATACTAAGGTATTTGGTCTTAACTCTGATTTAGGATGACAGTAAAGTGTTTTTAAGAAAGAACGTGAAGTGATCACATTTACCTTTTAGAAAGACTGGATACAGCAACAACATGTTCATCATACTTTCCTTAAGACAATTTCAACGCAGCCTTAGATATATAAGCCAAATTGTAGGATGAAGGGCAAATGAGAGATCACACAATGAAGAATGAAACTAAAATACACTTTAAGGAAGCTTTTTTGAAAAGCAGGGAAGTGAAATGGATTAAGAATTAGATAGGGATACAGGCTAAATTAGGAATAATTTAGGATACAGGCTAAATTTTTAAAAATCAAAGAGTCTTGATCATGATTATCCTTTAAGGGAAGAAATACAGGAATGAGGGAGGAGAGATTTATAATATCAGAGAGAGAAAAAATAAGAAATA